CGGACCTGCAGATGATGGTCAAATTCAGAAATGTTAACAGCTTATAACATCATTTTCTCACTTTGATATACAATTTCTGGTTGACCACCTACTGCAGATAGTTCTTAGGGACCTTGCACTGGGGGGGGGACAAAATTGCTGACTGGAGGGGCCACTAAGAGGGCTGGGGGGGGGACATGTCCCGCAGTCTATATGTTAAAAGAGGCCCTGAGTCATTTTACCGAATTTAATTGGCCTGAAACTGAGTTTATAGTACTCCTAGGAGTTTACGTGGAATTCGTCTTGGTTTATTTCATAATTATTTATATCCAATCTAGCAAAATTTCTGCGGGGGCGGATACGTAACTGTAGTCTCCAGAGTGGTAGATCTCCTACGTACAGTCAGACAGCCGTGATAACTAAAATTCGTAAAATTAGGTGTGGAGCTTATATTGCGTCGTAAATGCTTTGATTATTGTCTCTTAAGCAAGATATAATAAGACAGCTAGAATTTTGAAGATAGAAATTAGAATTAAAAGCTTCTGTCAAAAAACCGCAATACACTTTAATTTGCACTGGATTGTTCACATGATTGAGATCAGTTAAGGTGGCTCCATACACTTTTCATCATCGGGGGACTGGTACCTAATCTTGAGTTTTCGCGCGAAAATATTAAAAATATATGCAAAAATAAAAACAACTTTTTCAGTCAAAAATCCGAACCACAAGTCCTGTTTATTTTGATGTTTTGAATCTTCCTTGTTCTCATTTGTTCTCAAAGAACAAACTTCGTCCTGATTTAGCCCTGAACATCGAATAACTAGTCTTTTTAGAAGACATTCTAAGGTAAAAAATGCAATGTTCAACGTTCAAACTCTTGTGAAAACCGGCGATCGGCTCGACCGGCGAAAAGTTTTTTTACTGCAATATTTGGCGATTTATAAGTTCATATCCAGAGTTTTTTGTACTTACAACTGGTAAATGTATTCAAAATGTTACTAACAGCAAAGAAATTCAGTGAAACAGCATCATGCGCCGGCTGAAACAGCATCGATCATGCGCCGATTAAACTGTTTAAAATTGTCAACAACAACATGAAAACACACAAGTTACGACTGAAAACGAATATAAAACTATGTAGAGAAGCCAAAAAGTTCATACATGTCACACATATTTATACCAAACGACACAATCACCTGTTTTCTTGGCGTTATCCCGAGTTAGCATGCAAAACTAAATATATTTGGATTTCTAAGCAAGAAAACACAACATATATTTGATATTTCGACGAGACTAAAAACTTTTTTGTGCGAGTTTTTCTGGAGATGCGCCTGCGAAAACATGTACGCGCATGTCAATTCATTGATCTTGCAGAGCTCGAAAAACTTTCGGCCGAGCGAGTGAGATACCACAATAAAACGGCGTAATTCAAAATTTTGCACGGTGACATGTGATGAAATTTTGCACAACGATAACTTCTTTTAAAACAAATAGAATATCAAAATTTTAAAAAAATCTGTTGATTGAAAAACTCTAAATCCGCAATTTTTTATTCTGGCTATTCTAATCTACAGAATTTTTTTATTTTCAGGGATAAGATTCCGCATTAAAAGTGAAAGCTATACAGCAGTTAAAAATGGGGTGTCACCGGCAATATTCGGAAAATAAATAATAAAAACCTGCTTAAAATAGCAAAAAATACCATATTTGGCGAGACTACTGTTACCATGGAAACAATATTATGTTCAAGAATATTGCAAAATTTTTTCTATCAAATACTTAATTTATACTCGGGAATGCTTAAAATTAATAGATGAAGTGATAAAATTTATAAATTGAATTTTTACGCAATAAGGTATTTATACTACGGAACTGTATGGAGCCACCTTAAGTGCCTTCAGTCAATCGCGTTGTGACTATGGGCTCCCAGAAGGCTTAGCGGGATAAATATTATATGGCCAAGTTTTCTTAAAATATTTACGAAAATGTGAAGAAATACTCCAATTTTTGAAGATCCACACAATAATCTTAAATGTAAGTGTTAAACTATGTCAATATTTTGAAGTTTCGTGTGTAAATATGTGCCATAAATAGTTGTATTCATGTATATTTTTAACCGCCGTGCCGTTGGTCGCATTTGTATTTTCACTATTTTGTATTGGGTTCAACAATATATTGTTACTAAAATACATTAAAACTTAGTGATATTGCTTTGTATTTACAGATTATAATTCCAAGCAATAAATATTGTCATAATATGTGCTCCAAGCAAGTCAACTGTCGAAATCATGATACCTGTAAATGTAACGACAACAAACTAGAATACTACAGGCTACAAGAAGGTATGAAATATAGTTTAATGTATTGAGGCGGTATCAATATTGATTCATTTAGCTAATATTGATATAATCGCCAAAGCAAGTTCTATGGCTTTGTATGAGAGGAGAATAATTCCTCCTCTGTGTTTAATATTTATATTGTGCCTATCAATAGATTCCAGACAACCCTAAATATACATATTGCTGAATTCCCTGAATACATTCAGGATATATGATGCTTGTGATGTTACTCTGAGTGTATATCCACACCGGGCAAGCTTGAAAAATATGCCTGGCCACGGTGGGAATCGAACCTACGACCTTTGGAATAGTAGCCCAATGCTCTGCCAACAGAGCTACGCGGTCAGGTCTGTTCGAGTACCGGTATGTGATATTTCGGAACAATATCTAGTGATCATGACTTTTTTCTGTGTTGGTGTAATGTACTCAGGTGAATATGATGCTTGTGATGTTTCTCTGAGTGTATATCCTGCCCGCGTAGCTCAGTTGGCGGAGCATTGGGCTAGTATTCCAATTAAGGTCGTAGGTTCGCTTCCCACCGTGGCCAGGCATATTTTTCAAGCTTGCCCGGTGTGGATATACACTCAGAGCAACATCACAAGCATCATATTCACCTGAGTACATTACACCAACACAGAAAAAGTCATCCAGGATATATGTTTTTCATAATTTTTTCTGTGTTGGTACCTACATTCATTTGGGCTAGTATTCCAAAGGTTGTAGGTTCGATTCCCACCGTGGCCAGGCATAATTTCAAGCTTGCTCGGTGTGGATATATACTCAGAGTAACATCACAAACATCATGTTTCTCATAGTTATACCTCTGAGGAATTCCAAGCTCAAAAATTATATATGATCTCCTGATTGCCCTGAAGAAATATCCCAATATGCTAAGTACTATGCAGACACTAATATGGCATAATGCCATAATTAGTAAATGTTTATGACTTATGAATCAAGTTCAGGGCCGTAGCTAGACGCGATAATTGGGGTGGTGTATATTCATATATTCATGTTCACATACCGTAAAAACAATCGCTTTCAAAAGAAATCTGTCTGGGCAGAACACGAATATATGAATATACCCCCCCCCCCCCAAATCATCGGTCTAGCTACGGCCCTGGTCAAGTTGTGTGTTTATATGGAACCGAGGTAGCCCAGATACCAGAGTTCATTGTACATAGTGTTGTACCAACAACCAAGTAGAATTTCATCCATGTTTACTTGAGACTTTTCAGGCAGGTCAGCTCAAAGCACCTGTCTTTATTGCTATATAAGAGCTGTTTACATTGCCCTCTGAAAATGTACCGCCGTACGGAACAGATAAAATGACATTCTTACTGAGTGAATCTACCTGTGCTTGGACAAAGGTTTGAAATATACCGGATATCATATCCAGGCTCAGGGCTGCCGAGAGAATTTGCAGAGCCCTGGGCAAATCTTCTCTGGGGGCCCCATGACTAGACCTTAGCTAGACTGCATGTGGAGCTACTGTAAGCGGCCCTCAATTTCAAAAATGCTCTCATCAATTTAAAGGACATACTCAATTTTAGGCTCTCATGCAAGTTGGGGCCCTATTAAGGTTGGGGCCCAGGGCAATTTCCCCCTCCCTCTATCGGCAGATAGTGAGATAATCTTACTATCCAGTATATTGGCAGATACTGGATTTGACCTTTGAACTTTGTGGGCAAGACTTTGGCAATACCCATGTTTAGAATGAAGTTATTTCCTATGATTTCAAGTATCTTTTCAAGTCAAAGTATTATAAACACCCTCATTTTATAATCAATTAAACTAATTATTTATCTTAAATGAAAGTCTAAACCTTTATATCAACAGTATCCAGTATTCAGCCGGATAATGCAGATATCTTTCTTTCAACTATCCGACATAGCTGAAATCTGGCTGGATGGCAAAAATGTCTATCTGGTGCAGCCCTAGAAATGACCAAATGCCAGGTGAACAATTGTGACCAATTGTTTTATCTGACAACCAGGTATTTCCTAAAGGTAGCCCTCATTGTGACTGAGAAAAAAGTTTAAAAAAGACAAGTGTATAACTTTAATAAAAATATTGACTTAGGCTAATGAGGTTTTTGGGTAATTAGTTAGGATTATCTACAAATTTTACTTGGACTGTAGACAAATTGGCACAGGAGGGCATGTTCTGAAAGGGAAAAGCTGGCATTGTATAACAGACCCTGAGACACACAGCAAGCTAGAACTGGTTGAATTTAAATGTGCTTCAGTTACTTCATATTGTATGTCATTGCAACTTTAGAGTTGTGTGTTAATTATTTCCCTGCCGCTACCATGAGAATGAAATTATTATGCATTAGGGATGCACCTGATAGAACATTTTACTATCCAGCTGAATACCATATATGCCGAACGGATGGAAAATATCCTACCAGATTATCCGGCCAAATACTGGATATAGAGTGATTATAAAATATATGTAGGATATATAAAGTAAGATATAAACTTTAAAAATGTTGGAAGCGAAACCAGGATTCTCTGGTTAAAAAGATTTATTTATTACAAGCGTTCGACTGCCAGTCTGCAGACGGAGACCCGTCGAAGACTGCAGACTGGCAGTCGAAAGCTTGTAATAAATAAATCTTTTAACCAGAGAATGTTTACACAATTAAGATATAAACTGTTTATAAAGTGATGCTATTTATAATATATTGATTTGAAATGATACAAAAGAACTTCACAGTGAATTAAACTTAAAGTGCCCAAATATACATGTACTATGTTTATTATTTACTGTGACTAAAAATGTTAATCCCAGTTTACTCCTCTGGTTAATTGGTTTTAAACGGTCTCTCTGCCAATGTGCCTTGTTAAATCATACTATGTCCTAAACCACTCGACTTGCCCTAAAAAGTGTTACTTGTTGATAGTTTAGCCAGACTTTCCACCCAAATCTCAAATATTTACTCTGACATGTCACCAACAAATAATTAGATTGGGTTTGTTCTATAAGTTGTTTGATACTTTCTCATAAACCCACAAAAGGTACAGTGCACTCTTTATAATAATCTCTAATGCAAAATAATTATCTTTCAAGGGAACGTGCTGGCCATTAATGTTTAACGAAGGACAGTTGCACACCAAAACCTTTGTAGATTTTGTGCGCTACAATATAGTGATGTGTTCTTCTTCGACTGTGTCAAAGTGCCATTCAGCAAAGATTCTATTGGTTTCAAATTACCTGTACTGGTAATATGAACTTTAATTTGGATTGTGACTGATATAAACTATGTTGAAATGATTCAACTGAATCGAAATATGTAACATAGACTATAGTTTTAAACTCTAAAAATATATAATTTACATTTGTACTTTCTATTCTCTTCATTGTTTTAACTTAGTAATTCAGTTAAATTGAGTTAATAACATACAATCTTAAGCAGCATTTATACAAAAAGGTATTTTTACATTACATTAAGTTTATATTGAATATAGTTACTTTAGACATCAATTGGATGTACATTTACATCACAAACCATATCAGTACAGTAGCTGTATTCAGTAAGTACGTAATGCAGTGTAAAAAGACCTTTGGAGGTGTTAGTTTACGCTCGTAGTGTAGATTAACACCAGTTGGTGTCCACACAGCTGCAAGGTGCTTTACACCAAAACAGCGTAAAAATATCTTCGGAAGTGTTATTTTACGTTCGTAGTGTAGATTTACACGAAATCGGTGTCCACACAGCTGCAAGCTATTTACACCAAAACAGTGTAAAAATATCTTCGGAGGTGTTATTTTACGTTCGTAGTGTAGATTTACACGAAATCGGTGTCCACACAGCTGCAAGCTGTTTACACCAAAACAGTGTAAAAATATCTTCGGAGGTGTTATTTTACGTTCGTAGTGTAGATTTACACGAAATCGGTGTCCACACAGCTGCAAGCTATTTACACCAAAACAGTGTAAAAATATCTTCGGAGGTGTTATTTTACGCTCGTAGTGTAGATTTACACGAAATCGGTGTCCACACAGCTGCAAGCTATTTACACCAAAACAGTGTAAAAATATCTTCGGAGGTGTTATTTTACGCTCGTGGTGTAGATTTACACCAAATCGGTGTCCACACAGCTGCAAGCTATTTACACTAAAAGAGTGTGAAAAGATCTTCGGAGGTGTTATTTTACACTCGTAGTGTAGATTTACACCAATTCGGTGTTCACACAGCTGCATCTATTTAACACTGAAAAGGTGTATTTTAACACCAAAATGAGTGTAAGTAAACACTAAATCGGTGTCCACACAGCTGCAAGAATTTACACCGATTTCGGTGTTGTGGTAACACTCCCAGATTTACAGTGCTAATTTATTTTCAAAATCTAGAATGTCGTTTTGGCTTTCAATAGGCTTCAATTCAATGTAAAATAAAAGGATAAAACGCTTCGAAACTTTTCCGTGAAGCTATGTAGCTGGGTTAACTGAAACATTGCTCTGCCGACAAATAACTTGCTCGATATACAGCAAAACAATTAGCTTTACAGGAGAAAGCTTTTATTTGAGTTAGACTTTGGTCAAGCCACATTTTTTTCTGTAGGTAAAAGACCATTACAGGCACACATAAAAACATTCTGCGTTGGATGAATTGTCCGAAATGAACAATAACAAACGTCCATATATATATATATATATATATATACATATATATATATATATATACATATATATATATATATATATATATATATATATATATATATATATATATATATATATATATATAAAATAGTTTGTGTAGGGTTATAAAAACCAATGATACAGTGCTCAATGGATAACCAGAGCATAATAAAAAGACACAAAAACTTAGCAAGCTTTGTTTGGCATATTTATTACTATACAGTTTCGTACCACGTAAATAACGTGGCACTTTTCAGATAAAATAGCCTATGTTTGACCTATAGCTTCTTAACGAACTGTTTAAATATGTACAGATGGTATAAAGGGCGCTTATCTAATTACAAATCAATTAACACCTCAAGTAGTGTCAAGTTATAAAGTTTTAAGTAGAAACTTATTAGCGTGTCTACACGTGGAGACAAGTTCGGGCAGAATCGTGCGAGCTGGTCGGATCTTTTCTGTTACACAAGATCACCCAAAAACACGGTGAGAATTTCGGCCTCTATCGAGATGACGGGCTTGGTGTTATAAAAGCAACCCCCCGTATAATTTAAATTATTAAAAAAGATATCTGTTCCATCTTCAACAATCATGGCTTAAAAATTACCATCGAAGCCAACAAGAAAATAGTAGATTTCTTAGACGTCACCCTGAATCTGTCTACCCAAAAGTATCAGCCGTTCACTAAACCCAACAATATTCCACTTTACGTCCACAACAAATCAAACCATCCACCCAAAATACTAGACAACATACCAGCAGCGATCAACAAGCGCCTTTCTGAAATTTCATCTGTTGAAGACTCGTTTCAGCGTGCAGTGCCATTATATCAAGAAGCCCTAACAAAGAGCGATTATCAACATAAATTGAAATACCAACAACCTCCGACGTCCGAAAATACCATCAACTCAAAGAGTCGGAAACGAAATATAACCTGGTACAACCCACCGTTCAGCAAAAATGTCGCTACTAATATTGGTCAGACCTTTTTAAAGATTCTAGACGAGGAATTTCCCGCAGGCCATATCTTACACAAGATATTCAATAGAAATACCGTCAAGATTAGCTACAGCTGCATGAGTAATTTTAAACAAAACATTGACGGACATAATAAATCCAAGCTCTCCCACCGAGCTAAAACCACCGACGAAAAAAAATGCAATTGCCAAAAACCAAGTGAATGCCCTATGTCAAAAAATTGTCTAGCAAAATCTGTTATCTACCAAGCCACAGTAAAAACATCTGACAAGCGGCCCACTCAAACATATGTTGGACTAACAGAAAATGAATTCAAAACTCGATACACCAATCACAAAGCTTCATTTAATAACTATGAGAAGCGTAATTCTACTGAATTAAGTAAATACATCTGGAATCTTAAGAACAATAATATTAGTTACTCTATCAGATTGAAAATTTTAAAACGCGCTAAATCTTACAGTAATGCATCCAAGAGATGTAACTTGTGTATCTGGGAGAAGTATTTCATTATTTGTAAACCGGACATTGCAACACTTAATCGTCGCAACGAACTTGTCTCCACGTGGTAAGCTGTAAAACATGGAATCTGGAATCTTGGAATCTTGGAATCCTGGAATCTTGGAATCTTATCATATAACCGCAAAATATGTTAGTATCAAGATATTATTATTATACATATGCAACATATTGTTCTGCATGCGATAATTTAATACTTGGTGAGTTAGCAGAAGCAGACCTTGGTAATATATTATCGGTATATACTATACGTTGCAGATCCATCTTGATGCCAATTCATAATAATATAAACGCTGTGCGCGCATCTAAATAATGTCGTCGGTTTATGAATAGAGTTAAAATCAAGTGCGTAGCAAGATATGACCATTGCAATCAGGAAAACCTCAATTATCAATTAGATGCACTATAACACATCGTATTAATTCCGTCAAAAAATAGCACACTTGCGAACAATTGCCGTGTTCATATAGTCTATATTCAACGAATTAAGGTTATATAGTACGTGGTTAATGAAGTTCATAGTCTTGCTATGTAGGTAAGTGAGTTATATAGCACGTGGTTTTTCAACTGGCAATGTTATAATAGCGGCAGTGCGTCAATCTAGTGCTTTTTCGGCAAAATTCAAA